ATCAAAGTATTTAAAACTAAAGGCAACTCACCTCCAAACACAAGTGAAAATAATCATACAATGCTTGACATGGAATGAAAATCAAATAATTGAGCGGTGACACATCTTTAATGCCAACAATATTAATTTTCTTTTTACCCATGGCTTTCAGACGATTAACTTCTTGTAAACACTTTTCAAATCGATCTCTAGTTCGAAATCTTGGATTTTTACGTATAAATAAGGACCATGGATATGTGCATGTGTTATCGGTGCCAATATAGATTCCTTCCATTTCGCAAACCCTACAGCCATAATATCCATTATGCATGACCATGGACGTAACCTTCGACTGTCCGGGTCCATCGGCACAAATTCCTTGTATGAATACGTCAAAATGGATCAAACCTAAATAAATTTAATCAAAAATATACAATGTCTTACTATGGATCAAATGAATACTACATGAACTATTTAATTTACGAAGTGATTCATTCTATATACCGTGACTTCTACTATTTTATACGAGAGCAATAAACATTCGAGGTTTTTTGGGCAGATGCATAGAAAAGTCACAGTTAACGATATTATAAGGAAAAGCAGCATTAGAAAATGGCTGCAAACAATTTACGAGGAAATATTTTTTCTCGAACGAATTTCGTACCTGAACGATCGAATGTAATATCAATACCATGTGTAACAAGACGTCGAAGTTCTTCTGTTATTTCACTAAATAATTGATTAGCTGAAGGCCCACGAGGGGAATGCCATAAACATAATAAAATCAAGTTATTTTCATCTTCTCGAAATGGTTTAGGAATTTCAACGATGGTTGCCAACACCTACATTAAAAAAAATATGCAAATGAAGCAGATGCAGTTAAACAAGCACTGAGAAATATACAGGCCAAATTGAACATTTACTTGATTTTACCGTTGGCTTGCCATCACTGTAAAGCAGCAGTGTTAAAGGATTTTGACTTCTACCAGACTGATTTCTGTAGATTTCACCTAAAAAGATTCGAAAATCCCTATTAAAAATCATCATTTTTTGCTATATTCTTTTTACAGGTCAACACAGTTCACGTAAAAGCTGCAAGTTAATTTACCTTGTAATTTATTTAAAGTCTATATCACTTACTATATAATAGCGAAAAATAAGTGATTTCTATGGAGTTTCTAAAAGAAACTAAGAATTTCGATACAATCAGAAAATTTTGATTATGATCATGTCTCGCTATCCTTTCTTTATTCTTATAAGAGATGTACTCAAAACAAAATAAAGACAATAAAATTTTTCCTCGAAGAGAAATAAAAGCATATTTATTTGTTTCATTCATGTTACTCGATTGTGAATTCTACAAGCATGCATGCAATTTAAAAAAATATTTCTTGATAGAATTAAACAATGAAAAGTACCTTGTACAATATCATCTTTGTTTTTCTGTTTTTCAAGTCTATATTTCATAATTAAATCATAATTATTTTTCACCACTCTAGTGATTTCTTCAGTAATGGAGAAAACAATCAATTCTGAATTAAGCACGCGATTTGTATTATTACATGTACATTTAATGAGTTCTAACATACAATGTGAACAATATTTTTTTGTTGTATAATTAAATTTAACTTTCAACTGGTTCCATAATGAAACTAAAGACAATGGTGGTGGTGTTTCTTGATCATGAACGTGATTTAATAACTTTATCAATTGATTAGCGTTTGATTTATCCAATTGGGAACTGCAAATAAATGTTGCTACTTTTACATTCATATTCATTTCAACATCAATTGATTCATCATTAATAACATGATCAATTTGACAATTCTCGAAATCATAATCGTCTTGAACATCTTCATATTCATTATTAACAACAACATTATTTATATCTATTTAAATAAAGACAATTAAAAAAGTCAAAAAAAAAACTATCTTAGCTTGATGAACTATATTCCACTGATTTCGACGAAGATAATAGATTATTAAAAGTCTTACCGTAATAAATATCATCTTGGTGGATTTCGTTTTCGTTTGATTCATCATTTTCTATGAAAATACAATTTATAAAGTGAAAAATAATAAACGAAAGTTTATGTTATAGAAATGCAACTCACCTTGAACTATCACATCAAATAAAGGATCAAACAAATCTTGATTCATATTTTCTATGTGTTCAAAATCAGAAAAATTTACGCATGAAGATATATCAGACAAAAAATAGAACAATGAAGGTACAAAATTCACCTGCTACAGATGTAATGGATGATAAATCATGAAAATCAATATCAGTTGTCGAAAGTAAATTTGAAATTCTAGCTCTTCTTTTAGCTTGACGCTGCTTGTTGCATAAACGTTCTAAAACAAAAAGTTGGATAAAAAATATATTCGGTGTTATAATACAGATAAGATATTTTTAGACAAAAATAATTATAATTAACTTTTCGAAAGTTTTACGCTTGAACTTACTATAAATTTGCTTTTCTTTATATTCATCTTCATTTGAATTATTCTTTGACATAATATTATACGACTTATACAACTACAATTGTGTTCCAAAAATATACAAAATATTCTGGTACTAACAGAAATAAAATCTATCAACCAACAAGCAAAATTAGATGAAAAAAAAAGAAAATTTAAAAAGTAGACAATACCTTCAATTCTTTCAATCACTTAAATTTCCATAAATCGATTAAAAGAAAGTTTAACATTTAATAGTTATATCTAAAAAATAAAAAAAAATAACTATATTGAAGAATTTATTTTCACTCGAAAAGAGAATATTTGACATGCATGCATCTATATATGTATATATACATATACATTGAAGACGACGGTTTTTTTTTTCTTTCCTGCACATTAGTCCAAAGTATACCCTTCTTTATCCAAGACACGCTATCCACATGTGTCGAAGCGATAACGTACAGAAAATACAGTGTGACAACACGTAGCGTCACATGTGTGCACATCGTGTCGTTTGTGTCGACACATGTGTCGCCAGCGTGTCCTATCGACATGGGTCATCTGTTCATACCCATGTCGATAGGACACGCTAGCGACACACTCGTCTGATACATGTAACTTCAGTCACGTTTTGACAGTGTCATCACTGTGTCATATTGTGTCGACACATGTGCGTAACGTGTGTCATGGTCTGTAGAAACATGTACGTTCATAGTGTCGCAAGCATGTCTGTGTCGCTTTTTGAAAGAATCCTATTCGCTTATTTTTTGTCACCAACAGTTAATATTAATATATATATTACTAATATTTAATATTTTTAGCAGCATCTGCTGCACAATACCTTTATTTCAGTCAAAAACTCTATACTTTACAAAAAATACCAACACTTACACAAAAAAAATATACACTAAAAAAATAACATATACATAAAAAAAAATAAAAAGGATATACATGAAAAGTAATTACAAAAAGCTGTTAGCGCAATCCCTTGTGGGATTAAAAATGTGAAACACAATGGACCTATAGTTACTAATTTAATGGAAATCCTTTTGTTCTATTTCCGTACGACATATTTGTAGCTGACCGTATATCTGATGCTTTACAACTACAGTTTCTCTATCAGGGTCTGTGATGGGTACCCGGATTCTCTGTCACGGTCTGTGATGGGTACCCGGATTCTCTGTCACGGTCTGTGATGGGTACCCAGGGTTCTCTGTCACGGTCTGTGATGGGTACCCGGATTCTCTGTCACGGTCTGTGATGGGTATGAATTTTCTCTGTCACGGTCTGTGATGGGTATGAATTTTCTCTGTCACGGTCTGTGTGTGGTCCAAATTTCTACCCCTAAACACTTCAACACTCCTTTTAGATCGTGTTTCACAAAATAGAATTCACACACAGTTGCATTTTTCGTACAACGGACATATTGGAACAAAGTGGATAAATTTATTTAAAAAAAAAGAAAAAAATACGATTAAATTATATTAAAATATTAAAAAAAACTTACCTGAATTTTATGAATAACTTGATTGAAAAAATTGAATATAATATTGTTATAAAACAAGATCTAAAAATATAAAATAAAGCTGAACTTAATTTTAAAGAATCGATTTATTTTAAGCATAAACAGAAAGTTTCAAATTTATATATGACGAAAAGATGATCGTTTATTTTCTTTCC